GCTCAACTCATGCGCCAACTCGAAACGTTGACGCAGGAAAATCGTCAGGTACGGGCTGAAATGCAACAGCTTCGTGAATTCGCGTCTATTCCTCTTGGTCATGCAGCACCATCTCCTACACCCAACACGTCGACTGGCGCGGAAGCACTGCCGGAACGTCGAAGCGCGCTCAAGCCGCGGAAACCCGAGCCGTTTGACCCAAGTCAACGCGACGCGAACGTGCGGACGTGGATCTTCATGCTCAACAATTACTTCGCCGCGAGCGGGGTGCAAGAGACGGACGCGCAGCAGCGGATCGAGTACTCCGTTACGCTGTTGAGAGGCCCAGCCTTGGAGTGGTGGTGCCAACTCACGCAAACTGTTGTAAGAAGGGCTCATCTGGACGGACATCAACAGGGCGAGGGGCAGCAGCTGCAACTTTGAGCTTAGGGAGTTTAGCTTTGGGTGTTACCACGGTTCCGACGACATGGGAAGGATTTGAAGCGGCGCTGAAAACTAGGTTCGAGTTGGTGAATGCCTCCGAAGCTGTAAGGAAGCGTCTGCGTCATTTCCGCCAGATAGGAAACGTCCAGGAGTACACACGACAGTTCTTAAGCATCTGCAACGAGATAGACAACATCACGGAAGAAGAGATGCGCGATCGCTATCTCGAAGGGTTAAAGTCGGACATAGCGGAGATTATCGCGATCCACGGGTTGTCCACCTTCGAGTCAGTAGTCGCAGCAGCAGAACGGTCGACGCAGAACGAAGCCGACGGGGTCGTGACGATTGCGATAGGGGATACAATAGACTGATCAACAATTCTCGCTCGAGGGACGGACCGTCACCCATGGAGATTGGTGCAGTTAACAGTGACGGCTCAAAGAAAACGGGTTTTAGGGGTAACTATCACTAGTGCAAAAAGACGGGACACATGAAGCAGGACTGCCCACAACTTAAGGAGCGGCAGCAGGGAAACGAAAACCGCCAGTAGATAGCGGGTCGCTAGCTGGTGTGAGCGCTTCCGAACCCGCCAAGTCTACCAACGTAGAGGAGACGGCCTTAGAGCAGTCATCTACGCTGAACGAGGTAGACACTGTTGATCGTCCAGTCGTGCTTCTAGGGAAGCTACGCGGTATTCCAGTCAAGATTCTCGCCGATAGCGGAGCTAGCCACTCATTCTTCTCTTCATCGCTAGTTAGTCGTATCCATCTCGAAGCAGATTTGGCAGTCAACTTCAAGGACGCTCGTTTGGTATATGGGACGCCTCTCCACATAGGACCAGTCATTCGCAAGTTGCGCATAGTGCTAGGACCGATCACGGTTAGGCGTGACTTCGACTCTGCATCGCTGGACGGTTATGATTTCATCTTCGGGAGGGATTGGCTACGAACGGTTAGTACTCAGTTCGATTGGGCTCAGGGAAGTTGTAGCGTCAAGGTAAACGGGGAGTTCCGGGAGCTGCCACAGTGGAGCGATGGGGCCACATCATCCACAGCTATCATCAATGCTGTTCATGTGCGGCAACTGGTGAAGCGCGCGGCACGAATCTTCGCGGTTTTCCTTGAGGAGGTGGAAGCTAAGGAGGGGAAAGGAGGGGGTGCAGCAGTTGGCGAGAAGGCGACTCTTCCTGCTGAGGTGAGTGCACTGTTAGCAGAGTTCGCATACGTCTTCCCCGACGAGTTGCCCCCAGGGTTACCTCCTAGCGGAGCAGTAGACCATCGGATAGAGTTGGAACCGGGGAGCAGGCCAGTAGCGAAGCCGCAGTGGAGGTTAAGTCCAGCAGAGACAGAAGAGATGACGCAGCAGGTTAGGCACTTTCTCGCGCAGGGTTTCATACAGCCATCTAGATCGCCTTGGGCCGCACCGATCCTTTTCGCACCCAAGAAAGACGGGGGGTTACGGATGTGCATAGATTACCGCCATAGATTCCCAGTGCCGAGAGTAGAGGATCTTCTAGATGCAGTGCAGGGCGCTAGAGTCTTCTCAAAGATCGACCTTCGTTTGGGTTACCATCAGATTCGTGTAGTTCCGGAGGATCAAGACAAGACGGCGTTTTGTACGAAGCAGGGGTTGTACGAGTTAAGGGTTCTATCGTTCGGTTTCACCAACGCCCCAGCGACGTTTCAGACGCTCATGAACACCGTCCTCTCCAAGTTCCTAGGTTCGTTCGTCGTAGTTTACCTAGATGACATCCTCATCTTCTCCAAGACGAAAGAGGAGCACGTGCAACACTTGCAGAAGGTCTTTGAGGCCTTGTGGAAGGAGCAGCTGTACGCTAAGCAGTTGAAATGCGAGTTCTTCCTCCCCGAGGTCGAGTTTCTAGGTCACGTCGTATCCGCTAGTGGCATTAGGACCGACCCGAAGAAGATCGCAGCAGTTCAGAATTGGGTGGCTCCGACCTCAGTCAAGAAATTTGCAAAGCTTTCTTGGATTCGCGAATTACTACCGTCGTTTCGTTCAGGGTTACGCATCGATCGCTAGTCCACTCACCGACCTACTTCGGAAGGGCGTAGATTTCGATTGGGGTCCAGCGCAGCAGCAGGCGTTTGAGCAGATGAAGCAATCACTCACGTCTTCACCGACAATGTCGTACCCAGATCCCACTCGCCCGTACGTTGTAGTGACCGACGCATAAGATCGGGCCATTGGAGCAGTGCTTCTTCAGGACCATGGCCGCGGGTTGCAGCCGATTGCGTATGAGTCGCGTAAGCTGAGGGGGGCCGAGCTGAACTATACAATTCACGACAAGGAGGCGCTCGCGATCATCCATGCGTATAAGGTGTGGAGGTGCTACCTAGAGAGGGCAGATAGTGTTATACGCACAGACCATTGCTCGCTTCGCTTTCTCAAGTCGCAGCCGCAGCTGAGTCGTCGCCAGGCTAGATGGATGGAGTTCATGGAGGGGAGATTCCACTACAGGATAGAGTACAAGCTAGGCGTTCGCAACCCAACAGATCCACTCACTCGCCCTAGTTGCCAGCTCGCTAGTCTCACAGTTACTGCCGACCATCCACTCCTCACAGCACTCTTCGAGCACGGTTACACAGTAGATCCCGACTTCACACCACAGCTGCTCGCAGGAGCAGAGGTGCAGGGTAGTGTCTACATACGGAAGGGTACCACACGGATTTGGGTTCCAGCCTACCGCCCTCTTCGACAGCTTCTTCTTTCAGAGGCACACGACGTAGTTAGTGCAGGGCACTTTGGAGCAGATAAGACGGATAAGACGCTTAGTCGCACGTACTTCTGGCCAGGGCTTGCAGCAGACGTAGAGGATTACATTCGCTCGTGCGACACGTGTCAACGTACGAATTCCTCTCGCCAGCACAAGGCAGGACTTTTGCAGCCGATTCCACCGCCCGACCGCCCTTGGCAGATAGTCACAATGAATTTCATAATGGCTTTACCGCGCACAGTTAGGGGTCACGACGCCATCTTCGTGGTAGTGGAGAAGTTTCCTCGCGCAACGTACTTCATCCCCACGCACGGCAAGGTCACAGCAGAGGAAGTCGCGACGATGTTCGTAGATAACGTAGTCCGACTGCACGGGGTTCCAGATTCCATCATTTCCGACCGCGACCCTCGTTTCACTTCGAAGTTCTGGAAGCATCTTTTCGCACTGTTTGGGACTCGCTTAGCCATGTCGTCTGCGTACCATCCAGAGACAGACGGACAGACTGAGCGTGTGAACCAGACCTTGGAGCAGATTCTTCGCAGCATCACGATGCACGGCGCAGCCGCATGGGACAAGAAGCTGAGCATGGCCGAGTTCGCCCACAACGACACGCACCACTCGTCCACATGCATGTCACCGTTCTTCGCACTGTACGGTCAGCACCCCAAATGTCCCCACTCGTGTCGATCTCACATCCACAGTCCCTCGTGCGGACAACTTCCACCAGTATCTCACCTTCATTCATGATCACGTGAGGAAACACCTTGAGCTCGCAAATGCACGCATGGCACGCACCACCAATCGCAGTCGTCGTGAGGTGTCGTTTTCAGTTGGCGACCGTGTCCTTCTCGACAGCCGCAACCTCCGACTACCACAAGACAGCAAACTCCGCCCACATTTCATTGGTCCATTCGTTATTGAGCGGACACTAGGTCCGGTCGCATACGGCCTCTGCCTTCCCGCTCATTTCCGCATGCACCCGTCATTCCACGTGTCTCGTCTTCGGCCTTACACCGATCCCAATACCGCATTCTCGGGCCGTGATCGCAATCCACTGCCGGTAGCTGTTGACACCGACGAGCCCGACTACCAGATTGAGCGCATCCTCAGGCACCGTCGCCGTCTCCAGGGGGGTGTCTCTTTCATCGACTTCTTGGTTCGTTGGCGTGGTTACGACGCAGCAGACGACAGCTGGGTTCCTTCGTCCTCACTGTCTCCTGACAACGCTTACCTCCAAGCGTACCTTCAGTCTGCAGGCAGACGTCGCCTCCTTGGGAGGGGGGTAGTGTTACAGAGGGTTTTACTGTTCATTATGAACAATACTTCCCAACCTTATCATCTTATTTTCTTGGATTTCCTAGTGCCACGTGGCACTCTAGTTTCTTGCCTTCTACTTTCTAGTCCCACGAAGTACTTTCCAACTACTATCGCTCTTGCATGCTATGGAATGCTTCCTTGTTTTCACCAATATCAACCATTTCTCATTCAACTATTTCTGAGTTACTTCTTCGCATATTTCGTTAAGACTTCCTTCACCAAAGTCTTCCGCCGCGCTTCATCCTCAATTCAGACAACCCCGCTTTTCTTTAGCGGATTTAGGCCAAGGGGCCTAACAAGACGAATAGTCTGCAGTGTATAAACTGGATTTTCCATGTCAACAAAAAAATAAGGCAATATACTCAACCACTGTAATAAATGACAGAGCACACGCACCATCCTAAATGACTGCCTTTCTCATGGTACATGCACTTGCTGCTAGCGCACGCACGCTGCATCCTATGGCAGTTCCCTATACACCACACATATTCAAAATGAACAGTTTCGCCTTTTAAGGAAACTCTCCTTAAAGAGACAAATTGGCAGGCTTGGGCAGCAGCCCCAGCAGCTGAAACATCTCCGCATCCTCATCCTTGTCATTATTCGCCGTCGTCAGCAGCCTCTCCCCGGTAAAAATCGAATTAGCGCCAGCCAAGAAGCACAGCGCCTGCTCCGCTACAGACAAGCCAAGCCGCCCGGCGGACATGCGCACCATGGCTTGCGGCATGATGATGCGGGCGGTGGCAATCATGCGGAGCACGTCCCACACGGGCACGCGCGGTTGGCTCTCGAGAGGCGTGCCGGGGATGGGGACGAGAAGGTTGACAGGGACACTCTCTGGGTGCTGCGGCATGGTGGCGAGCTCATAGAGCAGCCCCACCCTGTCCTCCGCTGCCTCCCCCATCCCTATGATTCCGCCTGTTGGGTTCACAAGAGGGAGGGTGGATGGGAAAGTGACGAACGGGGGGATGACAGGGGAGGGGGGCACGCGGGTTTGGAAAAATGGGGATGGGGATGGGGACGATGGGGGGGGGGGAGAAGGGGAGATAGGATGGGGACGAGAAGGTTGACGGGGACACTCTCTGGGTGCTGTGGCATGGTGGCGAGCTCATAGAGCAGCCCCACCCTGTCCTCCGCTGCCTCCCCCATCCCTATGATTCCTCCTATTTGAGGAACGGGGGGAAGGAACTGGGAGTGAAGAGAGGGGGACGGGGATTGTGCAGGTGAGTACTGTGATGTGGAGAAATGACTAAAACGCCTCACATCGCACTTGAGAGAACGGCCGGAGAGTAAAACATATACATGAGTTTCGAGAAGGCAAAATTGCTGGGTTTTCTGCTCAATCCTCCCCCCTCAGAACGAAAACACACCCACACACACCTGCACCCGCACCCACACACACCTGCACCCACACCCACACCCGCATCCACACTCGCACCGACACCCGTACCCCCTCCCGCACACACACACCAGAGCAGGCCACTCACCGGAGCACATAGAGATGCCGGCGTTGCGCGCATAGGCAATGGTCTGCAGGCGGTCGTCATAGGTGCGCGTGCTGATGACGTTGGGGTAGAACTCGCGGGACCACGAGCAGACCGAAATGCTGGAACAGGACCGACCACTCACAAGAGGCATGGGCACAGGCCACTCACCGGAGCACACAGAGATTCCAGCGTTGCGCGCATAGGCAATGGTCTGCAGGCGGTCATCATAGGTGCGCGTGCTGATGACGTTGGGATAATACTCGCGGGACGTGTCGAGGTTGTGGTTGTAGGCCGTCAGCCCCGCCTGCTTCAGCTGCACCGCCTGCTGCTCCGTCAGCATTCCCAGCGTGCAGCACACCTCCATGCCCATGTCCCTGGGGGGAGGAGAGAGCGGAGAGGAGGGGGCGCAGAGAGAGAGAGAGCACAGAGGGTCAGTTGCACCGTCTCTACTGTTCAGTCACCATGCCAGCGTGCAGCACACCTCCATGCCCATGTCCCTGGGACGAGGGATACCATTCAGGGGGGAAGGGGGGGGTGCGGAAGACACAGGGGAATGGTGCGAATACACAGGGTTTTAGTCTGGAGCACACAGCGCTTGATAGGAACACACAGGGGAAAGGGGGGATGAAACGGGTGTAACTCGCGAAACGTGTTGAGGTTGTGGTTGTAAACGGTCAGCCCAGCCTGCTTCAGCTTCCTGCGCCTGCCACCGTGCAGCACACCTCCATGCCCATGTGCCCTTATCACCTGTGAGACCCCTCCCCAACACAACACGCACTCCTTGACTCAGCTGATGTAAGCCAAGCAGCTCTCAACCCCCCACGCTCCCTTTGATGCTGCGCACGACCCAAGGCCCCCACTCGCCTACTCAACTGAAAAGCGCACATACCCGACCCCAGCACTTTGCTGAAGTGCTAGTGTGCGGCTTCTCCATCACACACGCAATTAGTCTGCGAGAGTGGCGCTTAGCGTTTATGCTAAATCCCATTTGCTCACTCACTTGATGGTGCGCACATAGCCCAGCACTTTGTTGAAATCGTCCGAGTGGCCCCTCCCTCCGTCATGCATGCATGCACTTACTCCGCTGCACACTCACCAAGCCCATCCCCCCCCCCCCCACGCCCACTCACTTGATGGTGCGCACATAGCCCAGCACTTTGTTGAAATCGTCCGAGTGGCCCGTAAGGAACATGCACTCCCTTCCTCTGCCACGTGACTGCAACAAACCCCTTCGTGCACGCACACAGTCCCACTCACTCGATGGTGCGCACATAGCCCAGCACTTTGTTAAAGTCGTCCGAGTGCTCCCATTTGAGCACGCACTCAACATTCCGCTGTCCCGTACAGCAACAGAGGAAACACACCAAGCCCAACTCGCCCAATCATCAAGCCCCTCCACGCACTCCCCGTTTCCCCCGCCCACTCACTTGATGGTGCGCACATAGCCCAGCACTTTGTTAAAGTCGTCCGAGTGGCCTGTGGCCCCGCGCCATGCCGTGCCCATGCAGAACCGCGTGCTGCCGCTCTCCTTCGCCTGACGGAGGGATATGGTTTAGGGGATGTGGAGAGGGATGATACGTGCGATGGGATGGTAAGAGGGAGTGTACATGGGATGAGAGGGGTGATAGAGGGCATGGTACTGTAAAATAAAATGACCAATAAATTCTGCTTCTGCACAAAACCTTCACCTGCCATGAGCTAGAAACAGTCGAGCCTGACGGCTTTTGGTCGCTATGAGAGCAACTCTATTAAAGCAGGACTTGATACCAGCCAAACAGGCCCACTTACCTTCTTTGCAGCGCTAAATCATTTTTCGTCGTGCGGCATGAACTTGCCATGCTTGCTCTAGGCTGGTGTCGTGGCGCAACGACGACGTCTCTCGTTATAGCAAAACCCGTTGCAAGCACAACAAGCCATAAGTGCAACCATTACAACCCCGATCACCTTCTTCGCGGCGCTGATAACCTCGCCTTCCGGCATGAACTTGCCCGGCTCCAGGCTGGTGTCGTAGCGCGACAGACTTTGTTCGTTATAAGCACAACCCGCTATAAGACCAATCCGTTACAATCCCACCCTCACCTTCTTCGTGGCGCTGATAACCTCGTCCTCCGGCATGAACTTGGCCGGCTCCAGGCTGGTGTCGTAGCGCGACGGGCTTTGTTCGTTATAATCCCAACCCGTTATTAGCATAACCCGTTATAATTCCTCTCACCTTCTTCGCGGCGCTGATAACCTCGTCTTCCGGCATGAACTTGCCCGGCTCCAGGCTCGTGTCGTAGCGCGACGACTGCGCGCAGTAGGAGCAATCCTCGGAGCATCCGCCGGTCTTCACGGACAGCAGCGTGCACTGCTGCACCTCCCTGTTCCCATGCACCGCGCGGTGCACCTGCGACTGTAGAAGCACGCGGATGGAGGGGAAGGAGTGTACAGGGTTAGGATATGGGAACGGGAAAAAAGCGTGGTAGGAAGGTGCCTGGTTTCAAAAAGCTTTAGAGGCGTCTCGATACGGACTATGACGAGGGTGTGTGCGGGATTGGCGGGAAGGGAAGCGGGAGGTGGGGGGGGAGGGACGAGAGGGGGAGGGTGGAAGGGGGGAAGGGTGGAGAGGGGATGGCAGAAGCGCGCACTGCTGCACCTGCCGGCTTTATCTCCCGGCTGTCCCCCTTGCTGCTGCCGTGTAGCTAGCGCCGACCGACACGAATTGGTGCTATCGTCGCCACAGTCGCCTGATTTCGGAAACAACCTTTTCCCGTTACGCGGAACGTCAAGCATTCTCGTTCCCGCGCATTATGAATCGGTGGAATTGTCGCCACAGTCGCCCGATCCCGCCTCTCGTTCAGCTTGGAACAACCCTTTCCGTTACGCGCAACCTTCGTGCGTACTCGCTCAGACGTCACATACTTCCAGACCGTTACAAACCGCTCACATGCTCACACCCTACCGATCATGATTCTTCTACGGACCGCTCTCCTTCTACGAACACTACCCTCACGGACATACCCCTATGGACCGTAGAATCGTCGTCACAAGTATTTTGGAATTAATAGGATGCCTCTCGTTCAGCTTGGGACCGTACCAATACGGACCATACCCTTTACGGACACACCCCCTACAGACCCTACCCCTTAATAAGGACCGTACCCCTACCGACCGTACCCCTACCGACCGTACCCCTACCGACCGTACCCCTACCGACCGTACCCCTACCGACCGTACCCCTACCGACCGTACCCCTACCGACCGTACCCCTACCAACCGTACCCCTACAAACTGGACCCCTACAGACCGTACCCCGTGGAAGATCAGGTCGAGCAGCGGCGACGAGTAAATGGCCTGGATCTCGTCCCTCGTCCAGTCCGATCTCCGCGGCTTCGTACTTGCCCCCTTCTACACAACCGTACATCTACGGACCGTACTCCTACGGACTGTACCCCAACGGACCGTACCCCAACAGACCGTACCCCGTGGAAGATAAGGTCGAGGAGCGGCGACGAGTAGATAGCCTGGATCTCGTCCCTCGTCCAGTCCGTTCTCGGCGGGTTCGCAATTGCGTACGCCGCCGCATCGCTCGCTGCTGACGTCAGCGACGGAGTCAGCTGCGGCGACGCGGGTGCTGCGGTTGACGCGGCAGGCGGCGCGGCTGTGACCGCTGCGGACGACGCTGCTGCTGAAGCGGAGACTGATCCGGTTGATGGCGAGCCGCAACAGCTTCCTGACTTGGCTGAGGCGGGAAACGCGGAGGACGAGGAGGAGGAAGACGGGGTGGAGGAAGGACCGACGGACACGCAGACGACACGTGGCGCGGTTTTAGGAGCGAGCCATGAAGCCGTGCGCGACGGGCACGCCAGCACGCGAGCCGCGGTTAGCGAAGTGGTAGCCATGGGAAATTGAACCCAAGGACGAAAGAACGATCTAGATCAGGCGACGAAGCCGAGTGAGGCAAAATGGCAGCAGTGATCCGACCGTTATAACTAGCAGACCGAGCGATCACGCACTATACAGAGTGTCTGATCCGCCTGCTGACGATTGGCTGAATAGACGACTTCGGCTGATGCAATGAGAGATGAAGCAGAAAAGCATAAAGCGATGAAACCAGGGAAAGGGGGAAACGGGGAACAGATTGTGGAGGTCGGTTAGCGGTTCTGCTTGTGCAGGACTAGTTACTCCTAACAGTTTCTAAATCTATCCGTGAAGTATGGAATTATGAACCTTCGGAATCCACTTTCCTCATCTTTCCGACTGCTGACGCTTAGCTGAAGGGTCAGAGTGTTTTAGTGATCTGAGGGTTTCGACTGGTTAAAAATCGTAAAGCTGGAATAAGAAATGCTGCTTTTCTGGTAAAGGTTGTGACTGTGAAGCTTGGACTTGACACCCTCAAGGGAGTTTTCATGACGTGACTGACGGTGTTCTCGCTCGACTGACACGTGGCATGCACATCTCTTTCATCAGAACCAAATTCCTCTCCAATCAGAGAACCGAGAGTCTGTCTGTGACACCGGCTCGCTAAGGGCGATAAGACATAACATAAGCCTCCTCGCAAGTTTATAACCAGAATGATGCCACTTCTCTTAATCCATTCTATTAGGCACTTCTTCCATCCATCACACCTTCCAGAACGCCAAATGTTGGGGCCCATTTTGTTCTGACGTTAAATATATTAAGCAGCTCTTTGTACAAACTCGAAAATATGGAAGGAAGAACATTAGTCCCTCTGGAAGATTTTGTGCAACAGCCCTTTGGATTTGTGCATATTCTTTTTTGCTCCAACCAAAGCTTGACCCTCCGCCTCCTTGTTTGCTACTTCATGACGCCTGCCACCTCCTCTACTCTTCCCACCCACTGCCCTCTTTTTCTCATCATCGTCGTCGTCGTCATCCGACAAGTGACGCTCAAGGCTTTTGCGGGGCTTTCGACCCTCTCCAGAACCGCCTTTCGTGCGCTCGCCATCCTCGTCATCCTCCAAATTCCTCTCCAGCCTCCTCCCTGATGACACACCATTCTCACGCGAAATCTTGCCATTGTCCCTATCACCATCATCATCCTCCTCAACTTCATCGTCGTTATCCAAGCTCCGACACATTCTCACCGGCTGCCTCCTCTCTTGCCCTCCTCCGCCCCGCCGCTGCTCTCCTCCCCTCTCACCACCGCGCACATCTCTCCGCCCAACCACACCGTGCTCACTTGCCACACCATCCCCATGCACATCGCCGAACCTGACGCCCTGGCTCGATGATTTCTTCCCAACCACCGAACCTTCCTGGCCAGCCGCACCCTCCTCCACACTCCTTCCAAGCCTGCTGCTCTGCCGGGAACCAGCAGCATCACCACCACCTCTTCCCACAACACCATCCCTGTCCATGCTCCTGCTCAGCCTGCTGCCCTGCCGTATGCTAGCACCGTTACCCTTTCCAGCCGCTGCCCCAGCTGCCCGTGAAATGGATCCTCCTGACCTCGTGGGGCTACCAGCAGGAGGATTTGAGCTGGGAGTGCCAATACTGGGCAAGCTGCTGCGTTCCCGAGGCTCTGAGGCTGATGGCGGGCGATCCGAGCCTCCTGTCAGTGACATCCGGGGGGATCTGCTGCGCTGCTCGCAGTCGTCCTCCTCCAGGCTTCGCTGAAATCGGCTCTTCGGCCTCGCGTGACCTTGGGAAGCAGACTTGGTCTGCGTGCAGTTTGGTTGAGTCCGTGTGGCTCGGTCAGGCTGTTTCCCATCTCCTTCCGAGCCTTCCTTTGCGTGACGGGATGGTGGGTTTCGGCGCGCAGTGGACAGCGCTGCCGGACCACGCTGACGTGGCGCCGTACCATCAGCTGCTGCCACGTCGTCGTTCTCCAAGTTCCTCCGCAGCCTCCCTGACCCACTCTTTCCTGACCGTTGATCCTCGTCCTCATCGTCCCCCAGATTCCTGCTCAGCCGTCCAGATCTTCTGCCTGACCCTGCCACACTCCTCCCTACCCCTTCTAACCCCGTCGAATTCTCCTCGCTGTCTCCTGAACCATTCCGGCCATTCGTCCTCCCGGACGGCCGATCCTTTCGGGAACTGCGCGAAGACGCCGCCGCCCATTCTTTCCCCGTCCCTTCCGCGCTCGGTTTGTCACGCTGGCACGGCGCCGCTCCCTCCGCCACGTCATCGTCCTGAACACTCCTGGACAGCCGCCCGGATCCCCGTTTTTCAGAAGACAAACTACCCGTATTGGCTGAAACACTCGCCACCGTGGCGTTACAACCAGTGGTGGTTACCACTGGCACGTCATGTGATGTAACACGGGGTACTGGCCCTGTTCCTTCGTTGTTGTCTCGCCTGGGCCCCCCCTGCCAGGTGAGGCAGTGGGTGTACTCGCACGGCTGCTGCTGCTGCAGCTCGCCTCGAAGGTGGTAACCCGCTGGGTTCCTGTTTGCCTGCTCGTCGCTCATGCTGCTTCGCGAGCGGCGATGGTGCGACGCGTGAGGAGGAGGACCAACCATGTGAGGAGGAGGCAAGCCGGGAGCAGCCATTGGCCGTAGTACGTCCACTTGCGAAGAATCTGTTATATGGGAATTCCAAGAAAACAGCAGGAAAGTATAAGATCAGGACGGAATAAAGAGCAGGGCTCCTGGACTTGCGCAGGAGCAGGCCGGAAGAGCAGGCCGGAAAACGGTTAGACTTCGGCTTTGGCTACGTGTGATAACGTGAAGGCACGGATAATGTGACTACGGTAGTCGACTCAAAATAAAAAAAGCGTCCAAATCAGCACACACACTTGGCGACCGCGGAGAGTAATGACTCGCGAGTCGACGCAAAAGTAACCCTGAACTAGACAGAGCGTCTAAAACAACACACACACCTGGGTAAAGGTCGTCGGAATCCGTACTTGGCGACCGCGGAAAGTGAAACATCTCCGCCGCGCTGCTTCTCGCGGATTGCAACAGCGCCGGGATGTAGTAGGGCTGAGGCGCGCCGGGTTGAGGCGCGCCGGGCTGAGGCGCGCCGGTGAATGACAGCCGCGACGATCCGAGTCCCACTGGCAGCGCCCCTGGCGGGCCCATGAATATCCCTCCGCCCGCATTCTGCGGCCTCTCGAAACTCGGGCCCATGGGGGTCCCTTGGCCCGACTCCAGCGCCGCCGATCGCGGGGAAAACGCGGAGGAGCTTCCGCCGCACGGGTTCTGCGCACCACGGAAGCACGCGGCGGGAATTCTCGCTGGACTCGAGCCGCACGAGGCCGTTGGAGGCGTGAGCGCTTCGAGCTGGCGCCGCGGCGAATGAGAGCCTGTGCGTGGTACCGCACCGAAAGCGGCGGCGTTGTGATGCCGTGAGATTGGCGACGGTTGAAACAGCGCGAAGCCCGTCCGCCTCCGGGCTGGGACGTCTCCGGGCTGGGCGAGGCCTCCGGGCTGGGACGTCTCAAAGCTCGCGGTAGTAGTAGCTTCGAGCGGGTGAAACTGCGCGAAGCTCGGCGTATGCTGTTGAGCGGCGAGGCCCACGGGACCCTGGCCGCGCGTCGGCATGATGGCTGCGAGCTGGAGGAGCCGCGATGATCGACTGCGCGTCGACGCGCGACACCGGACTGGGTACAAGTTTGACTCTAGGTCGACGTTAACTTGACGATTATTAGAGTTTCCTGACTTTGGACGGTAATTTGACGCTTGACGTCAACCTCCCGATACGCTAGCCTGACGTTGCCGACGCTATTAATAGAAGCTCTGGGTGCATTGCGGCCTCACTACGACAAGCAATGGTCAGTCATTCGTGCTGAAGTTGGTGGCTATAAGAAGACACCGTGACCAGCATTGAAGCTTTCATTCAACTTGAAGACCGCGACGTCGTGTGCGTGGTGCTATCGTGCTAGTAGGTACTAGTGGTTCCCCTTTCAAGAAAGAGTCCTTTCGGCCTAACGCGACAACGCAGCAGCGGCAACCCGCAAATCTCTCGCTCCCTCCCCCCTCCTCTGGCTCGAGTTTGGCTCCTTGCTTGGTTTGCTGTCCTTGTGCCAACCACAGTTTCAAGACTATGCTAATAAAAAACTGTTCATCCTGCCAATTCAACTGTGGTTGTGTTGTGAGAAGCAAGATAACTTGCGACTGAGTTTTGTTCCTTGTTGCTTCCTAGACGAGACGCATGATTTTCCCCCATACCCTATCCAACCGATTTGTATCAGCATTTTAGAGCTCTAAAACGTGAGGAACCCGAGTGAGCCATATCAGCACGTCCTCACCCAAAGCAGGTGCCAGACATGCCTTCCCTGGCTGTACGAGAATTTCGTGCGATTCCCCCCCAAACGCGACGCGATGTACACTAGAAGATTGCGGCTCCATGATGAGTAGCGGTGGCGTGTCGATGTGCCTCGACAACTGGGATGAGATTCACGACTTCTATTGCGCGTCAACAACAGAGTTTTTTCACATGCCATATCCATCCATACAGTGTACGCTTCTGTTGGGTAGGGTGTGCTATAGCCAATATTTGGAGGAAACAAAAACTCCCCTGGGTGTGAGAAAGAGGGAGCCGTAGGCCCGTAGCTCCAAGAAAAAACGCACACCATTTCGACGCGCCAGTAAAGATCTTGACAGGCAAAGCAATGTTGCTGCTGGGATTGCGAAGTGAGGCCTCCTCGCTTACTGAGTCAGCTGGAATCAAGCTTGCACTGCTGTTGCTTGTTGTCAGGACCAGATTCCGTCCTCGTTATTCTCCACCCACAACTCGTCATTGAAGCTGCTATCGTGTAGTAAGAGGCTTCTTGAAGTGGATAGTGCGTCAGAAAAACACATCAGTTGGCAATCAAACAGCATCCAGCAAACGGGCAGGAGGGTGGGAACTGAGTTGATGGAACTCTAGAAACATGTGGTTGGGCAGAAATTATATTGAATTTATGCATTTGTAGTCCAAAGGCAACTTATATTTTAGAATAAACACCATAAAATATAATGTCATTTTCTGTCAAAAATCGATGGTGGTGAAATGCCTATGGCGGAAACTGCTGTACGCGTCGGATAAAAACATACCGATTCGTGATTCTGGGATTCACAACTCCGTTGAACTTTCTGCAGAGCCATCACACGTGGTAGAGCCCTTCCTGATTGACATGTGAGGTAACATGGTTGCAGGCAGGGCCTCATTTGGTTCATGCCGATCATGATAAAGACTGGCCATACACTGGCGGCAGCCGCATGTTCAGGACCTCGGATGGTTGAATGTGATCATCAACATGGCTTGCAGGCACATGCTATCAGGGCATGGGAGTTTCATGCACGTCAGAAAAAGTCGCACTTCCACAAGGTTTTACCGTACGGTATTTGTTTTGTTTTATTCGTTGCTGTTGTTGTTGTTGTTGTTGTTGTTGTTGTTGTTGTTGTTGTTGTTGTTGTTGTTGTTGTTGTTGTTGTTGTTGTTGTTGTTGTTGTTGTTGTTGTTGTTGTTGTTGTTGTTGTTGTTGTTGTTGTTGTTGTTGTTGTTGTTGTTGTTGTTGTTGTTGTTGTTGTTGTTGTTGTTTTGTTGTTTTTGTTTGTTTTTTTTTGTTTTTTTTTTTTTGTTTTTTTTGGGTTGGGCATTACGGGGGTGACTTCAAGCAGGGATGCGGTCTTCAAGGTACGCCAGAAGCGTTTTGGTGCCACCGTTTATGATGCTCCACCTGATGCTGCTCGTTGTACAGGAGGCACATGGGAGAGGGCAGAGAGAGAAGGCACGGAATGGCATGGGAAGGACAGAGAGGGGGTATGGAACAGAGGGCAAGCTAAGGTATCCATGCAGAATCTTTTAGATATAGAATTAGTGATAATTGCTTGCACGGTAGTGGAGGCACATGAGAGGGAGCAGAGGGTATAAAACTGAGGGCAGGATAAAGTAAGCCCGAAAATTTCAAGTGCAAGCAATAAACGCAACAGTAAGAGGCCATTCCACCTCACGTGCGAATGTGGCTGTCATCAAAATATATGGATCCCGAACATTGATCGCATGTGTTGCAATAGTTTTTTTCGACAAGGGACGATTATTGGTATAACGTGCCCATGCCATCTGTGACGCACCTAAAATCTGAAGTGCTTCAAGAAGGGCAAGGGTTTAGTTTATGGCATCTCACGTGCGAATGGGGTTGCCGTCGACTCGAAGGAGAGAGAGAGTCTTCATCAAGCCCTGAATGGATCCAGTCCAGAGGAGAACAAAAGCACAGCGGGGAGGGTGTAGAACCAGATCTTAAGGGTTTGGAACAAGCTTCATTGGGATTGTTTATGTACCAACCCAGGTGAGAGAGGGTGAGGGAGCTAGGGAGACATCAGCAAACCATGGAAGAAAGACGTGGTCGGCTTTGCTTATACAGTCCTTGAAAAAAAATAGAGAGAGAATAGGCACTGCAGGAACAGCAGCAACAACAGCAACAGCAACATAAGAGCTAGCGGATAATTGGGTCGGCTCAACAAGAGAAACAGAGGAATCAGGAGCAGCAACAGCAGCAGCAACAGCAGCAGATGCAGCCACAGTGGAATAGGCATTGTCAGCAGAGGATGCAGGAGCAGCGGCAGCAGCAGGGGAGGTGAGGTGAGAGAAGTAGACTCACATGCTTGGTGGTCAGCACGGGAACGTTGTTGTCCGATACATCGAGAGTGTTGTGTTTTTGGAGAATTCTCAAAACAGTCTTACAACAAAACAGATTAAACAGCTTCAACAAAACAGACTCACGAGTTTGGGGGGCAGCATGGGAATGTTGTTGTCTGAAACGTCGAGAGACTCCAATTGGGTCAACTGGGTCACTTCCTGGAGTGGATTCAGATGGTGAATGGGTTTGCACGCTAATCGGGTTACACAGTTACCAGGTTACAGCATCATTACAAAGCTACAACAATCATTGGACAGTGCAGGATTTAGCTAGTGAATTACAACAAGGAAAACAGGACAACCAGATGCAGAGGAACTGCTCAAGAGGTTCTTATAAGGCGTACAGTACGGTGTGCCTGTAGAGAGACACAGAAGTGTGAATATTGTAGGTGCGACGGTGGTGCTTATAGCAGAGTGGCGAGGCCGAGGCATGCTTACAACGGGTATGGATTCGATCTGATTCTGTGAGAGATTGAGAACCCGAAGGGAGGGGAGAGAGTCAAAGCCTGCAGGAAAAGCAGTGAGGCGATTGCCCCTGGAGGATAAGGAAAGCGGAAGGGGATGAGAGGAGGTGAGATGCGGTTCAGTGCGGTGCCATGCGGTACAATAAGTGGAAAGAGCCAAAGCTTGGAGGGAGAGCAAATAGGCGACAGCGTTCCCATTCACCCTAGCCTTCACATTCACGTTTCTACCTGCGGTGCCTTTGAGGGGAACCTTTCAGAATTCCCAACTTTGCCCTTCCTCTACCTGAGGCGCAGGCTACAGCTTAGGCAAAAACACTTTTGAGTTGAGCTTTGAGTCGACTTTTGAGTCTTTTGTGTACCTGCGGTGCAGCTCAAGGAAGAAGGCTTTTGAGTTGAGCTTTGAGGACCTTTGAGACCTTTGTCTACCTGAGGTGCAGCTCTGTGAGGCCGGAAGGGCGGCCAGAGAGAAGGAGGGTGCGAGCAGTGGCGTGGAGGAGATGACCCTTGAGTCGACTCGAAATCACTCTCGAGTTTGACACCAACTGTTCCCTACCTGAGGTGCGGCTTCGTGAACTGGGGGAGGGCCGCCCGGGAGAAGCTTGCATGTGCGAGCAGGTGACAGAGTATAGAAGAGCCTATTGAGAACGTTCCCTACCTGAGGTGCAGCTCTGTGAGGCGCGGAAGGGCGGCCAGAGAGAAGGAAGGTGCGAGCAGCGGCGTGGAGGAGGGCGAGCAGCAGCAGGAGAGATTCAGGCATTGCAACGAGGAGATGTCCTGTGGCGCTGTCAGGGGCAGCTGGAGAGGAGGGACGGGAGGGACGGGAGAGGAGAAGGGAGGATAGAGATGGATGTAGGGACAAGGGGGAGGGCGAGCAGCAGGAGAAGTTCAGGTATCGTAAAAAGGATATGTCCTGTGGTGCTGTTAGGGGCAGCAGGAGCGGAGGGGAGGGGGTGGAGAAGGGATAAGGGAGACGGATGAGGGAAACTAGAGGGGAAGGGCGGGCAGCAGCAGGAGAGGTTCAGGTGGTGCAGCGAGGGGCCGTCCTGTGGTGCTGTTAGGATTTTAGAGGCGCCTCAAAAATAAAAAATATTTTGAGGCGCCTCAACAATAAAAACTATTTTGAGGCGCCTCAACAATAAAAGATATTTTGAGGCGCCTCAACAATAAAAGTTATTTTGAGGCGCCTCAACAATAGAGAAATCTTTTGAGGCGCCTCAAAAAGAGGTTCAGGTGGTGCAGCGAGGGCCGTTCTGTGCTGCTGATAGGGGCATCTGGAGGTGGAGAGAGGAGAGTGTGCAGGACCTGTGCTGTACCATCTCCCTTGTATGCATGTCGATCATTAATATTAAGGACCATTTGAGGAGAGGAGAAGGGGAACGGAGTGTTGGGAAGGAAAAAGTCAGCAAAGGGAGAAAGCCCCGCTGTGAAGGGCATGCACTTTCTAGCCCACTAGCCCCAGCCACACCTGTCCCAGAGGGTCGGTGGGGAGGGAGAGGGTGCGACATGGTGGGAGCGAGCCAGCGCAGAGCAACAAAACGTGAATTCTGAACTCGACTTAGTCCCCACCTGCTTTGCAGCGTCTGAAAAGCGACACCACCCACCTCAACCTCACCTCACCTGCCCCTATCCCCACCTCCCCCACAAGGGAGAGCGTGTGGTGTGATTGGAGAAAGCACAAAACATCAAAGTGTGCATTCTGGATGTGACTCAATCCCAAACTGCTTGTAGTGTCCTCATCCCCACCTGCTCCAGTCCCAACCGCCCCTATCCACACCTGCCCCAGCCCCACCTGCCCCAGGGGGTTGTTTGCGAGGGAGAGCGTGCGGAGCAATGGGAGAGAGCGCAGAGCGAGGGAAGGCCAGGCTGCGATCTTATTGGTTGAAAGGTCTAGCTCCTGTAATGGGGAGCATGTTGGGGAGTATGGTGGGGGGCATGGTGGGGGACACGGAATGGTGGTGGTGGTGGTGGTGGTGGTGGTGGTGGTGGTGGTGGTGGTGGTGGTGGTGGTGGTGGTGGTGGTGGTGGTGGTGGTGGTGGTGGTGGTGGTGGTGGTGGTGGTGGTGGTGGTGGTGGTGGTGGTGGTGGTGGTGGTGGTGGTGGTGGTGGTGGTGGTGGTGGTGGTGGTGGAGGAGCAAAGAACGTTTCATACACTCACAGTCAGGGAGGTGCAAGCTGAGAGGAAAGAGGGCAGCCAGATGATCGGGCTGTGGTTACAGTTGATTTTCAAAAAGGAGACTTGCTCACTCACCGCGAGGGAGGTGCAGGTTGAGAGGAAGGAGGGCAACGAGGTGAGAGAGTTGTGAGAGGCGTTGATGGACGTCAGTGGGATGTCACCCACAGCCAATGCCGTGATGCCACGTGGCAGCTCTTCTAGGCTCTTCTTTGACAGCTGGAGTGTCTGTGCGGAAGGGAAGGAGGGGAAGGTGGGGATGGGAAGGGAAGGGGGGAGACGAGGGAAAGGAGGGGAAGGACGGGCAGAAGGGGAAGAAGGGAAAGGAGGGAAAGGAGGGGAAGGAGGGGAAGGAAGGGAAGGAGGGTATGGGAAGGGAAGGAAGGGATGGGAGGGGAGGGAGGGGAAGGGGCATGGGAGGGGAGGGAGGGCAAGGAGGGGATGGGAGGGGAGGGTGGGGAAGGAGGGGATGGGAGGGGAGGGAGGGGAAGGAGGGGATGGGAGGAGAGGGAGGGGAGGGAGGGGATGGGAGGGGCAGGAGAGGAAGAGGAGGGGCAGGAGGGGAAGAGGAGGGGCAGGAGGGGAAGGGGGGGCGAGGGATCGTCAGCTGGTTAGTTTTGATTTCATTTCACTCTGAATAAGGAAGATGCTGTGCAATGGACGAAGGTCACTCTGAATAAGGAAGAACAAAGCCAGCCAGATGCCTAAGTGAAAGGGGCTTCACTGATTATGACATCCCAAAGAACCGCTTTCCACCCACCCCTTTCTCTCATCCTGATAGATTAATTCACTCACCCCTCCCTCAAAGCACTCCCTCAGCCATGGCTCTGCCACTGCTGCTTCTGCAGCCGCCACCGCACCTCCCTCCTCCTCCACCCCTCCCTCCACTCCTCCTGCTCTCTCCACCCTGTCTCCTAATCCGCTCTTTATCTCCTCGATCTGCCTCGATTGCAAAATCTGTGGCACCGAGTCAGCCTCAGCAGCAGTCACAGCAGCAGCAGCAGCGGCAGGAGCAGCAGCAGCAGCGGCAGGCGCAGCAGCAGCAGCAGCAGCCCGCGGTGATTCTAGAGTCAGATCACGCAATGCAGCAGGTGCAGCAGCGCTGGCAGTATCTGGTGTGGAGCAGGAGACAGGGAGGAGAGGAGGAAAAGGAAAATAAAAGACGTTTGGAATACCTCTAGATTTGAAAAATCTCAGAAACAAACTATTCAGAAAGGAGAAAAGGAAAAGGAAAAACTGAAGTTCGACAAAATATATTTTCTCCAAGGCCAAGGAATGTTTGCAGATGTGAATTCAGTGGTGGAATGCAAGTGGAGCGAAGGGGGGAAATGGTGCAAGTGCAGCACAGGCCGAGAGAACAATGGTGCCGAAAAGCTGCAGGGTTCTTTAGAGAGCCTCTAAAACAGGCAGGCAGGCACAGGGAAATGGGCATTGTGGATATTGCGAGGGCTGGCAGCAGGCTGGTAAACGAGCAGACGAAACACTGTGAAAGATTGTTGAAACATTGTGGAAAATTGCTGTCGAAAGCGGAATTAGGTAGACGAGAGAGAAGGAAACCAGGGAGGAAGCTCATGGCTGGGGCCGTGAGGATAAGGTAATATCTGGCCATATTTGGACCTGGAGGCTGGAGCGGGTGGTATCTGAGGCAGGACGCACCTGAGTCGTTGTCATCAGCAGAAGCAGCAGGGAGGCGAGAGCGCAGATAGTCCAGAAGGTTCTTGGCAGGGCCGTTGATGAGCGTGCTGTGAAGTGAAGGGGAGGGGCGGTTGAGAAGGATGAGCAGGTGATAGGAAGTGCATGAGACTCTTGGAACAAGAGCGCAGATAGTCCAGAAGGTTCTTGGCATATGAGCGTGCTGTGAGGGGGGGGGGGGGGGGGATGAGGAGATTAGGGGATGAGAGGATGAGGTGATGAGGGGAGGAAAGGGATGGAGATGAAGGGATGAGGTTAGGCATGGTTAACAATGAAGCTGCTGATCCGAAAATCAAAGTGCTTGTGCTACGGGGGCACTTGGAACGGTCACCAACAATGGGGAAATGTCGTAGAGAGCCAACCACTTTTGCAACTTCTCAAAGGTAGGGTTGTTAGGAGAGCGATACCTTCGGATTGTTCTGATCGGATTGCCTGCTGCTGCGACCCTCTGCAGCGATGTCATGCTACCTGTAGGAGGGAGCGGAATGAGAGTGGAGCTGCAGATGTGCATGGCGTGCTCGAATGACCCGACATGCGTGCATGCATGTTCTTGACATATGCTATTCTCAAGAAGAATTTGATGCCATGCTGCTGCCTTACGGATGGGAATGGACAAGGGTGGGGAACGAAGCGTGTTCAATGCATGCTCTCAACCACATGCTATTAAAAAAAAAAAAAAGCTGGCACAATATTGCAGCGCTCTGTGATGATGTGACATCGTGGCAAGGCAGGCAGGCAGGTTCGGCATCCCGAGCCAAGCACGCAGGTTAGGCATACCGAGCCAGGCAGGCAGGGTGGGGAGGTCATTGTCGGAGACATCAATAGCCTGAATGCTCAGGCGGCGCAGCGATGGGGGGAGGTCCTCCAGCTGGCAGCAGGGGCGTAGAGGGGGCGAGGGTGGAGAAAGCAGGAAGGAAGAGGACAGGCGGGCAGGGTGGGGAGGTCATTGTTGGAGACATCAAGAGCCTGAATGCTCAGGCGGCGCAGAGATGGGGGCAGGTCCTCCAGCTGACAGCAGGGGCGAAGAGAGGGGGGCAGGGGTTGAGGGGGAGGAGGGGGGGAAGGGGAGTGTGTAGAAGAAATGATGAAGGGTGAGTGATTGTATAGAAGGAACGATGAGGGAGAAGGGTGCTGGAGTGCTGGAGGGTGGGGAAGCCAATCAGTCGCACTAATAAGGTGAAAACAGGGGGAATGCAGCACGGGAGACAGAGCATGTGAGATGCAAAGCGTCCCACACCACATCCATGAAAGAGCACGCACCTAGTTGGATTGGAAGGCACAGAGAGGGTCATGAGAGAGCATGTTTAGTTCGTCAAGAGAATGAGAGCTCATTTGAGAGCACGCACCTTGTTGGAGGGCACAGAGGGTCACAAGATAGCACGTTTAGTTCGTCAAGAGAGAGAGAGCACGAATGCGACAACGCCCACCTTATTGGAAGGAACAGAGAGGGTCACAAGGGAGCGCAACTGGCCGATTTCGGCTGGCAGCTGCTTCAGCTTGTTGCGACTGGGGGCAAGGATTGGAGAGACAGTGAGATGCATGCGCAGGGCACGGGGGTGAAGGGGAAACGGGGGGAAGGGGAAAGGGGGAAACGGGGAAAGATGGGAAGGGAGAAGGAAGAAGCGAAAGTGTTGTAAGAGGAGGACAAGTGTAGGAAAAGGATAGGAGAAAGCAAGCGCGAAGGGAGGAGAGAAAGAAAAGGGGAAATGGGAGGGAAACATTTCATTTGATGGCTTCAGGGAAAGCCAAATGAAGCTTCAGGAGAAGCTGATTCCAAGAGACATCAGGTGAACTACAGGCAGCTTGGGACCAAACTTTGGAAGCTGAAGGAAACATCACTGTTGACACGGATTTGTAAGAAACTGAAAACGTACACCAGGTGCGCCCCAAGGAGTGTGCCCCAAGGAGTGTGCCCCAAGGAGTGCGCCCCAAGGAGTGTGCCCCAAGGAGTGTGCCCCAAGGAGTGTGCCCCAAGGAGTGTGCCCCAAGGAGTGTGCCCCAAGGAGTGTGCCCCAAGGAGTGTGCCCCAAGGAGTGTGCCCCAAGGAGTGTGCCCCATACGTACCCCAGGTGTAACTCCAGCAGGGAGGTGCAGGCACCGATGGTGGATGGAACAGAAACAAGGCCTGGCGACGGTGGCATGGTGCATAGGTAGTGGAGGGCGGATGGATGAAGAGAGAGACATGCAAAGGACGCATCTCTCTGTTCATCCCTTCTGTGCGAAGGGATGAACAGACATGCACGGTTCCAGAATGCAGGCCCTGCGACGAATGCAAAGCGGTCGTGAGAAAGTGACACACAGCAGGTTTTGACATGGATCCGGCTTGCGAGACGCACGGTTCTGGATCAGTGATCAGGGTCAGTGACACACACACACGCACACAGCAGGTTTTGAAAAGATAGGGCTTGCGAGACGCACGGTTCTGGATCAGTGATAAGGGTCAGTGACTCTCACACACGCACACAGCAGGTTTTGAAAAGATAGGGCTTGCGAGACGCACGGTTCTGGATCAGTGATAAGGGTCAGTGACTCACACACATGCACACAGCAGGTTTTGAAAAGATAGGGCTTGCGAGACGCACGGTTCTGGATCAGTGATAAGGGTCAGTGACTCACACACACGCACACAGCAGGTTTTGAAAAGATAGGGCTTGCGAGACGCACGGTTCTGGATCAGTGATAAGGGTCAGTGACTCACACACACGCACACAGCAGGTTTTGAAAAGATAGGGCTTGCGAGACGCACGGTTCTGGATCAGTGATAAGGGTCAGTGACTCACACACACGCACACAGCAGGTTTTGAAAAGGTAGGGCTTGCGAGACGCACGGTTCTGGATCAGTGATAAGGGTCAGTGACTCACACACACGCACACAGCAGGTTTTGAAAAGATAGGGCTTGCGAGACGCACGGTTCTGGATCAGTGATAAGGGTCAGTGACTCTCACACACGCACACAGCAGGTTTTGAAAAGATAGGGCTTGCGAGACGCACGGTTCTGGATCAGTGATAAGGGTCAGTGACTCACACACACGCACACAGCAGGTTTTGAAAAGATAGGGCTTGCGAGACGCACGGTTCTGGATCAGTGATAAGGGTCAGTGACACACACACGCACACAGCAGGTTTTGAAAAGATAGGGCTTGCGAGACGCACGGTTCTGGATCAGTGATAAGGGTCAGTGACTCACACACACGCACACAGCAGGTTTTGAAAAGATAGGGCTTGCGAGACGCACGGTTCTGGATCAGTGATAAGGGTCAGTGACTCACACACACGCACACAGCAGGTTTTGAAAAGATAGGGCTTGCGAGACGCACGGTTCTGGATCAGTGATAAGGGTCAGTGACTCACACACACGCACACAGCAGGTTTTGAAAAGATAGGGCTTGCGAGACGCACGGTTCTGGATCAGTGATAAGGGTCAGTGACTCACACACACGCACACAGCAGGTTTTGAAAAGATAGGGCTTGCGAGACGCACGGTTCTGGATCAGTGATAAGGGTCAGTGACTCACACACACGCACACAGCAGGTTTTGAAAAGATAGGGCTTGCGAGACGCACGGTTCTGGATCAGTGATAAGGGTCAGTGACTCACACACACGCACACAGCAGGTTTTGAAAAGATAGGGCTTGCGAGACGCACGGTTCTGGATCAGTGATAAGGGTCAGTGACTCACACACACGCACACAGCAGGTTTTGAAAAGATAGGGCTTGCGAGACGCACGGTTCTGGATCAGTGATAAGGGTCAGTGACTCACACACACGCACACAGCAGGTTTTGAAAAGATAGGGCTTGCGAGACGCACGGTTCTGGATCAGTGATAAGGGTCAGTGACTCACACACACGCACACAGCAGGTTTTGAAAAGATAGGGCTTGCGAGACGCACGGTTCTGGATCAGTGATAAGGGTCAGTGACTCACACACACGCACACAGCAGGTTTTGAAAAGATAGGGCTTGCGAGACGCACGGTTCTGGATCAGTGATAAGGGTCAGTGACTCACACACACGCACACAGCAGGTTTTGAAAAGATAGGGCTTGCGAGACGCACGGTTCTGGGAGGCATTGAGGTGGAGGAGAGACGAGAGGCCTCCTATGTCGTCCGGGAGAGCCTGCAGCTGGTTGCGGCCTGGTGGAGGGAAAGCGGGGGTGATGACACGAGAGAAGATGAGATTAGAGGAGACAGGGAGTGAAAAGAGGAGACGAGGAGGGAGGAGAGCCCTCCTATGTCGTCCGGGAGAGCCTGCAGCTGGTTGCGCCCTGGGGGGTGGGAAGGAAAGACGAGGAGGAGAGATGGGGAACGTCAAGGAGAGAGGAGGAGGAGACGGGGAAAGACAAGGAGAGAGGAGGAGGAGACGGGGAAAGACACGGAGAGAGGAGAAGGACGATGACACAGAAGCTGCTTTTCTGTACCAATCGGTTACCTTTCCACATTCCACAGAGAGCGATGTCTGTCATACTGACGTAGTAGCAAAGGGAAAACGGTGATGAAGAGGCATCGTGGATGGATGAGTGCCAACCAAGGTCGAGACTTGTGTCACTTGAGAGCTCTCAAAAGGGCCACCAAACAAAGCCGTCATGGGTGAAGCTCACCAAGGTCGAGACTTGTGTCACTTGAGAGCTCTCAAAAGGGCCACCAAACAAAGCTGTCATGGGTGAATGCTTACCAAGGTCGAGATGCCTTAGATTGCGGAGCGAGGAGAGCAGAGGCGAGGGGATGCTCTGCAGCTGGTTGTTCTGTCAGTGCAGCATGGCGAGGGAGAGGGAAGGACGAGGGAGAGGGAAGGACGAGGGAGAGGGGGGTGAGAGGAGAAGGGGGAAGAGGGTGAGAGGAGAAGGGGGAAGAGGGAGAGAGGATGGGGAGAGGAGAGGAAATGGATTGCTGGTTTCATGGTGGAGCAGGAAAAGGAATGTTACACAGTTGGTCTGTGAGGAGGGAGTGGGGGAGATACGTCTTACAATAGACTGAGGTACATCTTACAAAGTCCGGAAAACTAAAAGAGCTTCACAACACATCCACAGAAACATGCGCACATGCAAGTACCATCCCAGTAGCACAGATTACCAGTGGGACGAGACGAGAGAGAGAGCTAGGCAAAGGCTTAGGAACAGAACGCACCTCGAGATTGAGATGAGAGAGCGCAGTGCAGGCACCCAGGGAGGCTGGCAGGGAAGCGATGCGGTTGGAGCAGGCCTGCAGGGAACAGGAAAGAGAAGAAGAGGACAAGAAGAGAGTCACTCGCTGGGCTGTTCAAAATGCTCGCTCCAAGCAGAAAACTTCCCAAAAAACAAGTTTGAAACGAGGAGGAAATGAAAACGGGGGGTGGGGGGAGGAGAGTAGGTGGGCTGGGCCGGCCGACCTCGAGGTGGGAGAGGAGTGTGCAGGCGGCAAGCGCAGGCAGGCCTTCCAGCACGTTGTGGGAGAGTTTTGTGAATTCTCACAAGTGACACAGGAAATTAGCGAGGGTGGCGTGGCGGACCTCGAGGTGGGGGAGTGTGCAGGTGCCAAGAGGGGGAAACGTTGGTGGGGGGGGAGGGAGGAGAGAAGCGGGGCTGGCGCACCTCGAGGTGGGAGAGGAGTGTGCAGGCGGCAAGAGCAGCAGGAAGGCCTTCTAGCACGTTGTGGGAGACATCCAGCCTGCACAGTGAATGGCGGGGATAGTGGTTGGCGGGGACGGAAACTGTATAGAAGCAGAACATTTGGTGAATAACAAGATGAGAAAAATGAGTAGCATTATGGTATCTGGAAAGGCCTCCCGCTAGCTGCTGCTACTGGCTTGGCCAGGTTCTCTGCTGCTCCTGGCTTGACCAGGTTCGCTGCACTCTACTCACTTGACCAGGTTCGCTGCACTCACTTGACCAGGTTCGCTGCACTCACATGACCAGGTTCGCTGCACTCACTTGACCAGGTTCGCTGCACTCACTTGATGTTCGCTGCATTCACTTGACCAGGTTCGCTGCACTCACTTGACCAGGTTCGCTGCAGTCACTTGACCAGGTTCGCTGCACTCACTTGACCAGGTTCGCTGCACTCACTTGACCAGGTTCGCTGCACTCACTTGACCAGGTTCGCTGCACTCACTTGACCAGGTTCGCTGCACTCACTTGACCAGGTTCGCTGCACTCACTTGACCAGGTTCGCTGCACTCACTTGACCAGGTTCGCTGCACTCACTTGACCAGGTTCGCTGCACTCACTTGACCAGGTTCGCTGCACTCACTTGACCAGGTTCGCTGCACTCACTTGACCAGGTTCGCTGCACTCACTTGACCAGGTTCGCTGCACTCACTTGACCAGGTTCGCTGCACTCACTTGACCAGGTTCGCTGCACTCACTTGACCAGGTTCGCTGCACTCACTTGACCAGGTTCGCTGCACTCACTTGACCAGGTTCGCTGCACTCACTTGACCAGGTTCGCTGCACTCACTTGACCAGGTTCGCTGCACTCACTTGACCAGGTTCGCTGCACTCACTTGACCAGGTTCGCTGCACTCACTTGACCAGGTTCGCTGCACTCACTTGACCAGGTTCGCTGCACTCACTTGACCAGGTTCGCTGCACTCACTTGACCAGGTTCGCTGCACTCACTCGACCAGGTTCGCTGCACTCACTCGACCAGGTTCGCTGCACTCACTCGACCAGGTTCGCTGCACTCACTTGACCAGGTTCGCTGCACCGCCGATCTCCTCTGGCAGGCACTCCAGCTTGTTATGGCTCGCCAGCAGACTCTTGAGCTCCACCAGCCTGGTTGGTGCAGTGGAGTGCAATGGAGTGCGGTGGGGTGCAGTGGAGAATGAGGGGAGGGAGAGGCTTTGAATCGACTCAAGAGTCACCTTGCTGTGTCCCGCCAGCAGACTCTTGAGCTCCACTAGCCTGGGTGGTGCAGCGGATTGCAGTGGGGTACACTGGAGTGAAGTGGAGTGAAATGGAAAATGAGGCTGCGTGGGGGGGTGGGGGGGGGGTAGTTGAGTCCATTCAAAAGCCACCTTGCTGTGTCCTGCCAGCAGACTTTTGAGCTCCACTAGCCTGGGTGGATTGGGGGCTCGCGGGGAAGGAGGGAGGGACCCATGGAATAACGGCACGAGAAGTGGAGAAATTAGGGGACGAAGGGGCACCTGGATCAAGTGTGTCCTGAAGTGATTCGGCAAGTTGCCATGCCACACACCATGGCCCAAGCACCATGCTCCATGCACTATGCACCATGCATGCACCACGCACGCACCATGCATGCACCACGCACGCACCATGCATGCACCATGCACCACACACCATGCATGCACCTTACACCACACACCACTCCGCACACGCACTTGCCAACAGCAGCGGGCAGGCAAGGCAAGGCGTGGTAGCTGGAATGAACCCATGTGAGGCAGTAAAGGCATCCAAACTGCTTCATTCCCATACCTCATTTCCCACACACCATAGAGCATACACCCCACAATCAACACCCCACACTCTCCACACACCACACCACAAGCCCACACCTCACAATCGTACACCCCACACGCCACACGCCACACTCACTTGCCAACAGCAGCGGGCAGGCGGGGCAGGGCATTATAGCTAACATCAAGCCACGTGAGGCAGGGCAGGCGGCCGATCTCCTCTGAGATGTGGGTGAGGCTGTTGCGCGCCAGCAGCACCTTCTGCAGTTCCACGGCCTGGAGGGAGTGGGGGGGAAGGTGGGGGTGGGGGGGGGTGGGGGGGGAAGGAGGGGTGTTAGGGGGTGGTGGAGAGGGGGAGATAAACCGGCCCATCTGCTCTGAGATGTGGGTGAGGCTGTTGCGCGCCAGCAGCACCTTCTGCAGCTCCACGGCCTAGGGGGGAGATGGGGGTAAGGGCGGGAGGGAGTGGAGGGGGATAAAGCGGCCGATCTCCTCTGAGATGTGGGCGAGGCTGTTGCGCGCCAGCAGCACCTTCTGCAGCTCCACGGCCTGTGAGGGGAGATGAGAGGAGGCTGGGGTGGGGGAGATGGGTTGGAGAGGGGGAGACAAACTGGGCGATCTCCTCTGAGATGTGGGCGAGGCTGTTGCGCGCCAGCAGCACCTTCTGCAGCTCCACGGCCTGTGAGGGGAGATGAGAGGAGGTTGGGGTGGGGGAGATGGGTTGGAGAGGGGGAGACAAACTGGGCGATCTCCTCTGAGATGTGGGCGAGGCTGTTGCGCGCCAGCAGCACCTTCTGCAGCTCCACGGCCTGGGGGGGGATGGGGGGCATAGGCTGAGATGGGGGGAAAGGGTGAAATGGGGGGTGATGGGGTGGGATAAGGGGGGATTGGGGTGATGAGGTGACCACTATCGGCGCACTGATTACTATGAACGTGGTAGCCGTTTTTAACGCATCTCCCACCACTTCTCGGGATAAGGAACGCCATCCAGCAGCAAGTAGGCCACGAAATCAACCAGCAGTACTGACGCACATCTTTCCGCATGGAGGGTCGCATATACCACAGTGTGCATGCAGAGTCAAGGCATTCACAGTCAAGGCATGCACAGTCAAGGCATGCACAGTCAAGGCATGCACAGTCAAGGCATGCACAGTCAAGGCATGCACAGTCAAGGCATGCACAGTCAAGGCATGCACAGTCAAGGCATGCACAGTCAAGGTGTGCACAGTCAAGGCGTGCACAGTCAAGGCATGCACAGTCAAGGCATGCACAGTCAAGGCGTGCACAGTCAAGGCGTGCACGGCAACGCACCTCCCACCACTTTTCGGACTGAGGAACGTCGTCCAGCAGCGAGTACACTTCGGGAGGCACTTCCCTGTAAGACATGCCGCATGGGGGGGTGGTAGAAGAGAAGTGATGGAAACAGCATGAATCGATGGGGATGACAAGAGTAGTATTCTAGTCCAGTCCAGGTGATCTTTCAGGGGATTTGCTGAGTCGAAATAAGAAGTAACAGAAGGCACCTGAGTTGAAAGAGGTGACACGAGTGGTAACTGGAGACGCCATGTCAGGGCGACAGGCGTTGAGACGTCTCAAGAGACGCCATGTCAGCGAGAAAGGGGGACCAGATAAGTAATCTCGTCGTTTGCCGAAAGATTACTTGGAAACCCGTTGTCAGGGAGGGAGGATGGGGGAATGCACGGAGGGAGGGTAGCCTGCACCAGTCATCTAGCAAGTCTCACTGGCATGGTGCAATAAATTAAGGGGGAGGACCAGAGTACCGACCGCTCATATCCTGTTTATTTCAATTCTTACACCAGCTCGAAAATGGCATCGGTCACTAGACAGTTTAACGCTCCGAAAGTATAAAGATCAGGCATAAGTAAGCAACGTAGCATTATGCTGACACGTCGAACGTACTGATTAGGCCACAAACGGGGAGTTGAAGTCACTCGGCCATACTAGAGATACAAATAGGAACCGGAATAGTATACTAGTCAGTCACTAGATTCGAGGCTTCGTACTTGAGATCTTTCCCTGAGAGGTTGAGAGTCCCTGATGTCCGAGCCGCCTTGAATACAGCGTCGAGTGCGGGTGTAACCACCACTATCCCGCGCTGCATATCAGCCCGCGCACCGCCCCTCCTCATTTCGCGAAAATCGTGCGCGAAATTCGTGAATGACCGCGAATGGTTGCGACCGATCTCGAATGCTCGTGAATGCTCGTACGGGAGCGTGCAGAGAATATACAATACCGCGTAGGGTTTCGTGAGCGTAAGGCTCGGAATGATACGAGGGTAGCTAATCCAGGCTTGTTTCCAAGCAGCGTCAGCTCCTAGATTCGTCGTACATTGCCTGGATAATCAACAGATACATTGGTATCTGCAGATACATTGGTATCTGCAGATACATTCGTCGTGTAAGGATCTATGGCGGGTAAGTATATACTGGGTGGGTATTACTGGAAATTTGTGTTTTCTACTTGTAGTTATTTTCATTGAGTGGTACTTTTGACGAATTCTCACACGCGACATCGAGATTAGTGTCACGATTCATGGATACAGGCAAAAAGTTTCGCCACGTGTCCGACGCGATTTCCCTGAAACATTTTGACGCAGCAGACAAAAAATAAACCCCTAGGGACACGGACACATTTCGGGAAACATCAACCCTAAACACGTAAATGGCCAGGTGTTTAGGGTTGACGACCTAAAAGCGTTACAATTCGGAAGGAATCAACCCTAAACACGGGAACAGGCATGGTGTTTAGGGTTGATGCATCCAAATAAGTCCCTGGTGCCCTAGAGGTTTTAGTTTAGTTCAGTCGCACGTAAATTTTGCATACACATGAAATCTACACAAGCCTGGACACGTGGCGAAAATAATCGCCCGTAGACATGAAACGTGACAATAATCTGGGACTCGAAAATGAGAATCAGCAGAAATTCACACCAAATGGGTAAACTTGGGACTGGAAACAACATTGTTTTTATGAAGCCCACCCAGTATGTACTTACCCATCAATGGCAATGAGCTCAACAGATGAATGACTGACTGCAGTGGTTGCATGGATTCCTCCCAGGCCTGATCTCAACGGCTCGATTTGGTTTCCAGGCCTGGCATGAGTTTGGTTTGTTGGGATTTGTGTCAGAAAATACGAGCCGAGGCGCGAAGTGGCTGTTGTGAGAAGTTCTTGAGGAAATGACGAATCGCCCATTTTTATAGTTTCCAATTCTGATGGGCAGTGGTTTTGACAGCGCAGCGCTTCCCGCTTGCGCCCAATTCCCACGGGCAGTTCTTGTGCCTCGATACACATTAATAGTTATTTTCCGGGGCAAAAAAACAATAAACCCTCTCCGGAAAGGCATGTCTGCCTGGGCAGCATCAACCATAAACACCATGCGGCAAGGTGTTTAGGGTTGATGCGTCCCTTGTTTGTAGGCATGAGCACCGTATCGAACCGGTTCAGTTCGGTAATTAAGCCTAACGAACCGGGCCAGTTCGTTATTGAACCGAACCGATTAATTTACGAACCGTTTTCTGACACAACCCGGTTCGGGGTTCGTTAATATGTATAACAAACCGGCCCGGTTCAGCCGAACCGGCCCGGTTCGGTAAGCTACATATAAATGGCATGTTTCTATCATTATGTTATGTTTTTTCCAAAGCAATGCCCACAATATCAAAATCACAAAAGTACCTAAAACACTAAATACTAGGACAAACTGCCACAATCAATAAAGGTCACGGTTTCGGGCAATCATCCTCACGGCGACACGACCTGGCCAGCACATACAGGGTTATCCCACCCGCCCATCAATAGCTCCAGGCCCCAAACTGCACCGCACCCTACTCCTCGTCTCCCTCGCCCTCAACACAAAGGTTTGGTGTGGGCCCTGTAACAGACACCGCACCATCCCCGGGGTGCTGACCGAGGTGCGTCTCGTACCATGACTTGAGAGTGGCACACGACCGCACGGTGTCGGTGCTCTCTCGGTGGCGCTGCCAAGTGATAAGGTTGCGGCCCTTCGAGAAAACACACTCACTCGCTGCAGTAGTGGCGGGCGTCGCTAGATAATCGCGCGCCATCTCCTTCAGGGTGTCCATGTTCTTCGCATCGCGCCAGTACTCGAGTGGGGACGAGGTCTGAACCACGTCATCGCGCAAGTACCTCTCCACCTCATCGTCCGATGCCCCTCCCCCTCCTGCTGCTGCACTAGTCGCTGCCACACGCTGCATCAGGCGCTGACGGCTACCTAGGAACATCGCCTCCTCCTCCCAGGAACCCTAAACCCTCATCATCATCTAAAGTCCAGCGCGAGGCTGAAGGCGTGGGTGCTGTCCTGGTTGCCGGTCTAGGAGCGTGCGTCTGATACTCCGCCACCCGTGCCTTAACCACGTGCAACACCTCCTCCGGTCTCCTGCTCCTCACCGCCCTCCCCCCTCCTGGCATCCCCTCTCACGTGTCCACCTCAAAATAGCGAAGGCTGGGTCGAGGAAGGTGCAGATGACCAGCTCGTCGGTGCAGCCGCTATAGTACTTCTTCAGCGAAGGCAACGCTGCTGAAATGAGCTGCGTCAGGAGGGGTGAGGCCTCGGAACGCGCTCGACGCTCGAGGGTGTCCAAGAGCTCGTTGTACCCTGGCAGCACCATTGAGATGGTGGGGTACGCCGAGCCCTCAGCAGCGGTCGTGAGGACGTTGAAGGGGGCAAGAAACCCCTTCAACCCCTCAAGCGCCTCCCAGCGCTCGTCATCCAGCCTCAGTGTCGCGTACTTCTCCCTCTCAGCACGCGTGGTAACCTGTTGGTTGAGGGTTATGGGATTGGCATGCATGGATGAAAGAAGGAGGGCAGCATGCATGCAATCATGTGGGCAGCATGCACACAAGCAAGGTGGGCAGCATGCACGCTTGCTAGGTGGGCAGCATGCACACAAGCAGTGTGGGCAGCATGCACGCTTGCAAGGTGGGCAGCATGCACACGAGCAAGGTGGGCAGCATGCACGCTTGGTGGGCAGCATGCACACGAGCAAGGTGGGCAACATGCATGCTTGCAAGGTGTGCATCATGCACACATGCAAGGTGGGCAGCATGCACGCTTGCAAGGTGGGCAGCATGCACACAAGCAAGGTTTGGGTGGAATGCACACAAGCAAGGTGTGCCTATACTGATCCATGTTGACCCTCAACCGAAGTTCTCACCGGGCGGTGGGCAAAGTGAGTGGTGATGGACCGGTGCAATCGGAACGCCCGGAGCACCATCTGGTTCGTCGAGCCCCACCTCACCGGGTTGTCCTGTACAAGCTTAACTTGCCGCTTTCCGGGCTCCTGGTGCGCCTGCTCCTAACAAAACAATGTCGAGTGCTTGGTGGAAAAGCTAACGAACTTGGCTATTTCCCTCAAACGCTGCAACGCTGCACGTATCAACTCGACCCGCAACGCATCCTGAACCGCAAGGTTCATGATGTGGGCCATGCACCTGTGGGTTTTTGCTCACCCGGGGGGTTTATGGATAGGATGTGAGAACAATGGGAATGCTACTAGAAGAGTGAGCCAGTTGCTTGTCATCGGTTAAAGAACTGACAGGAGAAGAATCAACTGCAAGCAAACCGCCCGGTACGTACAGGACGTGCCTGTCCACGCGCAGCATGGCGGTGCCCCCTCGCCCTCCAGCCAACAATCACACGACAGTGGTGTTGTTGGAGGCGTTGTCGGTCGTGAGACCATGGCAGCGCTCAACCAAGCCCCACTCTGCCAACATCTCCCGGAAAGGCTTCTCAATCGAGGCGGCATCGTGGGCAGCAGGCATCTCTCGGAAGTCGAAGACTGCCTGCGCCTGCTCCCACTCCTCGGTCACCCAGTGCCTCGTAAACGCTATCCACACCTTATGGTTCTCGATGGACCAGATGTCAAGGCTAAACAACACTCCACATCCCCGCGCACGTCCCCCTGAAGCCAACTCAAGGATCGCCATGGCTTTCGCCTGCTCAGCACCCACCGCCACAAATTGTGCAACAGTCCATCGCGATGGGAGCACACGCTCCATCCCGCAGATCGGGTTGCATAGCATAAGAAGCTCGTGAAACGGCCATGTAGGAGGGCTTTTGTCAGAATATTATAGCTCATGCATATTGTGTAGGCTATAGTGGGGTAGCCCATAAGGGGTACAACCCAATTAGGGTTAGTAGTTGTACCCAATTCATTCATAGTTCATTCATTCCTTGTTTCTTATCATGGTATCGAGCAGGTTCCCTCGTGGGAACTGTTCCTAGGGCCCACCGTTTTTTTTCGTGCCCGGAGCGCACTCAGCCCCTGCCCGAGTCGCGCTCCCCTCTCTCGCGCCGCCCTAGCGGCCCCTTCGCGCCGCCCTCGCGGTCCCTTCGAGCCGCCCTCGCGGCTCTGTCGCCCTACCCTAGCAACCCCGCGGCCCCACCCTCGCGGCGCCGGCCGCCTCCCTTCGCGGCCCCGATCCGCCGCCCTCGCGCCCCCCCCCCCCCCCCCTACTCCGCCGCCCTTCGCGGCCCCTACTCCGCCGCCCTCGCGGCCCCGATCCGCCGCCCTCGCGGCCCCGATCCGCCGCCCTCGCGGCCCCGCTCCGCCGCCCTCGCGGCTCCGATCCGCCGCCCTTCGCGGCCCCGATCCGCCGCCCTCGCGGCCCCTACTCCGCCGCCCTCGCGGCCCCGATCCGCCGCCCTCGCGGCCCCGATCCGCCGCCCTCGCGGCCCCTACTCCGCCGCCCTCGCGGCCCCTACATCCGCCGCCCTCGCGGCCCCGATCCGCCGCCCTAGCGGCCCCGGCCCCTGCTCCTACGGCCCCGGCGCCTGCTCCTACGGCCCCCACGCCTACTCCTACGAGCAGCCCAGCCGCCGAGCCGCCCGGCAACCGAGCAGCCCAGCCGCTGAGCCGCCGAGCCGCCCAGCAACCGAGCCGCCCAGCCGCCGAGCCGCCCAGCAGCCGAGCCGCCCAGCAGCCGAGCCGCCCAGCCGCCGATACGCCCAGCAGCCGAGCCGCCCAGCAGCCGAGCCGCCCAGCCGCCGAGCCGCCCAGCAGCCGAGCCGCCCAGCAGCCGAGCAGCCGAGCCGCCCAGCAGCCGAGCCGCCCAGCCGTCGAGTCGCCGAGCCGCCCTGCAGCCGAGCCGCCCGAGCCGCCCTGTCCGGTAAGAGCAGCGCCTCTCTCACAGCACTGCCCTCACCCTACTGTTTGCACTGCTAGTCTACTGCTGTCATGGCTACCCCTAGTGTCCTCGCTTTTGACGCTGAGGGTCGGGCCATTGACTTTGAAGTCTGGATAGATGACCTGCAGCTTTTCTTACAGTGCGATAGGGCAGACGGCCTCTCCCTCTTTGACCTCACTTCTGGTGCCTCTCCTGCCCCCGCTGCTGATGCTGACGCCACTGTTCGCTCACAGTGGGCCACGCGCGATGCTGCTGCACGTCTTGCTGTGCGTCGCCACCTACCTACCTCTGAGCGTGCGCACTTTAGCCAGTACAAGAGTGCTCAGACCTTGTACGACGCTGTAGTTGCACGCTACTCCTCCCCTGCCACTGCTGCACTGAGCCGCCTCATGCTACCGTACCTCTTCCCTGACCTTGGTGCCTTTCCCACAGTCGCTGACCTCATTACGCACCTTCGCACTAGTGACACTCGCTACCGCGCTGCGCTTCCTGCTGAGTTCTGCGCCAAGAACCCCCCCCCCATGTACATCACCCTCTACTACATAGTCACCCGTCTCCCTGACTCCCTTCGCGTAGTCAGGGACCACTTCCTCTCGGTTTGCCCCACCACTCTCACCGTTGACCTCCTCGAGAAGGCCCTCCTAGCAGCAGAAAAGAGCATAGTCGCTGTAGGAGCCTCTCGTGGTGACCCTCGCACCCCCATCTTTGAGGGGTGTTCCCCCTCCCCTGTTTTGCCCTCTGTTGCCTCTGTTGCTGCGGCCGACCTCGCTGGTTTGGAGTCGGTTGGGGCAGCGTCTACCCCTAGCGGGAGACGCCGCCCTGGCAAGGGCAAGGGGGGCAGGGGCGCTGGAGGAGCTAGCGGGGGCGGTGGAGGCGGCGGTGGAGGCGGTGGAGGAGGTGGGGGTGGCGGTGGGGGTGGTGGCGGGGGTGGAGGTGTAGGTGGCGGCAGTGGAGGCGCAGGCGGCAGCGGCGGTGGCGGAGGGAGCGGAGGTGGCGGCGGTGGAGGAGGAGGCGGCGGAGGAGGTGGAGCTGGTCGGGGTGGCGCTGCGCAGAGGGTCGGCTCCGGTGGTGGTCAGCGCCAGCAGCAGCAGCAGCAGCAGCAGCAGCGCACTCGTGACGTCCCCTCCCCTCAGCAGCTCCGTGAGTGGTACACTGCACGCCAGAGGGGTGGGGGTACTGGTCCGTGCACCTACGTCCTGCGCACCGGCGACCGCGCGGGTGAGCAGTGCGGGGGTGCGCACTCCACCCAGCGCTGCTTTGGCCGCCTGACGGACGCTTGGCATCACCAGTTCCCTGAGGCCACTGAGATCCCCCGCTGGGGTGAGCTGTCTAGGGCGGGTGTAGCTGTCTTTGACCTTGACTTTGATGCTATTCTTGCTGCCATGTATACTGTGACTATTAGTGATGAGGGTGACTGTTACCGGTGTTTTCCGCCCGACCCGGGCATTGAGACTGCTGCTCTAGGTACTGGTGAGGCTGCTGCTCTAGGTGCTAGCGAGGCTGCTGCTCTAGGTGCGTCTGCTCCCTCAGGTACTGGTGAGTCTGCTCTCTCAGGTTCTGCGTCGGCTTCGGCCTCCCACACCTTCACCCTTGACTCGGGGGCTTCTCGCTCCTTCTTTCGAGACCGCACTACACTCACGCCGCTTGGCCGGCCAGTTGCGGTCTCTCTGGCAGACCCCTCTGGGGGTCCTGTCCTTGCTCACTTCTCCACTGTCCTCCCGTGTCCGGCGGCCCCCTCTGGCACCCTGTCTGGTCTTTACCTCCCCTCGTTCTCTACGAACTTGGTGAGTGGTGCTGACCTACAGGATGCGGGGGTTCACCAGTTCACTCCTGCGAGTCAGCGGGTGACCCACTGCATGGACGCTCGGACAGGCCGACACCTGGCCACGTTTACACGTCGGCCGGGGTCGAGCCTGTACACACTGACCACTGCGTCTCCCCCAGTCCCTGCGTCTGGTCAGGTAGCTGCGTCGGGTCAGGTGTTTGCTGCAGCGTCCAGGTCTGGTCCTGAGTCTGCCCCCTGCTCGTGTCGCCTCCTGTCTCACGAGACTCTCCTCTGGCACCACCGCCTTGGTCACCCCTCCCTGCTTCGTCTCCGGAGCATGGCCTCCCGTGTCCTTGTCTCTGGTCTTCCTCGGTCCCTCCCTCCACTTCCTCCGGGGCCTGGCCCTACCTGCATCCCCTGTGTCGAGGGACGACAGCGGGCTACCCCTCACTCCTCCCAGTTTCCTCCGACAGAGGCCCCGCTGCAGACGCTTCACATGGACGTGTGGGGCCCGGCCCGCGTCCGTGGACAGGGTCACGAGCGCTACTTCCTGCTGGTGGTTGACGACTACTCGCGTTACACCACAGTCTTCCCCTTGCGCAGCAAGGGTGATGTCACTGAGGTGTTGATCGACTGGATCCGCGCAGCTCGTCTCCAGCTCAGGCGGAGCTTCGGCTCGGACTTTCCTGTTCTGCGTCTGCACTCTGACAGAGGCGGAGAGTTCTCCTCTGGCCTTCTGCGAGCCTACTGTCGTGCACGAGGCATCCGCCAGACCTTCACGCTTCCGGACTCTCCACAGCGAAATGGGATTGCTGAGCGCCGCATTGGCATGGTCATGGACGTCGCCCGTACGTCCATGATGCATGCGGCTGCCCCCCATTTTCTGTGGCCGTTTGCGGTTCGGTACGCGGCGCATCAGATCAACCTTCAGCCCAGGGTCTCCATGCCGGAGACCTCCCTAGCCTTGCTGTGGACGGGGAAGGTTGGCGATGCGTCTGCGTTCCGTGTCTGGGGATCTCGGGCGTTTGTCCGCGACTTGTCTGCGGACAAGCTGTCCCCTCGTGCTGCTCCTTGCGTCTTCCTGGGTTTCCCCCCTGACGCCCCAGGGTGGCAGTTCTACCACCCCACCTCTCGCCGTGTTCTGTCCTCCCAGGACGTCACGTTCGACGAGTCGGTCCCCTACTACCGCCTCTTCCCCTACCGCACTCCGTCCCTCCCCCCGCCACCGCTCTTCCTTGTACCAGGTCCCCCCCCGGTAGACCCCCTCCCCCCTCAGGGTCCTGCCCCTCCATGTGGGAAGCATGCATGCAATCAGGTGGGCAT